AAGAATATAAACGAATATGTGCAGATGAATGAACCATACTTAACCCAATGAATCAAAGAATTGAAGTTTTTCAGGAACCCGCCGACTTCCGCTGGCTTCCGGCACTGGACGACGCTGGCTTCCGGCGGGTTCCTGATTTGGACGGAGGCAGCTGATGGTCGCTGACGGAAGAGAAAACCAGACAGGACTCCGCGGATAGGATGGAAAAAAAACACGTCTATTTACAAGCCAGGCTAATTTTCGAATGTCTGCCAAAGGTCACACCACGTGCTCTCCTCGTCTTCTTCTCTTCTCCAAAATGTCCCCTGCCCCAGCTCGCACGAGCGTCGCCAGTTCACCCACACACCGGTACACACGTGCAAACGCAAACACGCAAAGAAAAAGAGCCTATTTCCGCGTCCCTTCACGGTGATGGCAGGCCGATTCTCACATAGTCTTGAAAAAGGCCTGGCTCAGGCCGAAACGTCGACGAACTTTACGAATAATATATTCTAAAACTCCAAACAACCGTCTCGAGTACGTTTTTCTGCCATATATATATATATATATATATATAACGAAGTGAAGAACTCACGGTGAAAAACAACAAACAGCGGAAGTTTAATCGACAGTTTGTATATATATATATATATATATATATATTCAACATGCAGCAGCCTCACGGGTGGTGGGAGGGGAAAAGAGTAAGGGGGGGCGGCCGAAACAGATTTGAGTGTGGAGGCATGCCCCCACTGGTTTAGAACCTGTGAGGGCGAAGTTGGTTTACAAGAACCCTCGAAACATTTTAACAGATCTCGCACTCCTTCCTCCTTTTGGCGTTTGCGTAGAGAATCGGTGGTTAAACGTTTCATCTACATTTCAAGCAGCGGTGGCCTCGTTGCTATGGCAACTCGTCGTTCATTCTTTTTACAAACCGGAAGTTCTCTTTGATGTCAAAGACTGGAGAACTACCTGGAGGCATTTGCCATAGTAAGGGTCTATTTTGCAGTGGACAATCTTTGGCGGTGATACCACAGCTTCGTTTCTAAACACCTTCACAGCGTGGATTGGTGCCTTTTTGACACCCACCCTCAGCAAGCGCTCGTCGCCATCCGCCGTGCTTTGCTCGAAGTTCGCGAGACGCCGAAGTATTAGCGAAGACTGGAAGCTCGCGCTGCATGAGATACAACTGGAAGACCTGATGCCGTTCTCACACTGTCACTGACAGTAGTGCGTGATCGGCGAGAGGTATAAAGAAGCTTCAAACATAAAACTTCTTGCCTTAAGACCTTAAAACGTCTTGCCTTAAGACCTCAAAACGTCTTGCCTCAAGACCTTTATTACGTCTTGCCTTAAAAAGTAACTGCAAAGAAAAAAAAATGTTTTTTAAACAACTTAATTGGGACAAGCGTGTCAGAAAACAAATTTACCGCGAAAAAAATATTTTTTTTAGCAATATTTACGTTACATGGCGTAATTTAGTCGGAGTCACAACCTCTTCACATTTGAAAATCCTGCTCTTTCGACCCCCGCGGAGGAGAACTACGCCCCGCCCCTCACTCTTGAATTTGCTCTTTTGGGTTGACTTGGCTGCTGAGTTGAACGACGCAGCGTCTCGACTTTCGGTAATACCTGGCAACAACGCACGTTAAACATGACGCCGGCATTGTTTTGGTTTGACGGTATACGAGAAGCTGCGTGGTTTGCTAGCGCATAGCGAAGATGTGACCGGAGAGGTGCCCCTGCGACGTTCCCGGAAGACGGAAAGTATCATTCGTAATTGCCGTGCGTGCTTTGAGAGCGAAGGGAGTCACAGGGTCCACGAGTGCGCAACCACATGACAAAGTTCACGACAGCGCTGCATTGACTTCGGCGATCTCGTTCTGTTTGGTGCAACGCGGCGATGCGACAAAGAACTGAAACGTTCGTGGTATGTGTGGTGCGGTGCCTGGAAGTAGACACCCACACTAACACGGAGCGCAAATTGGTTGTTGTGGGGTTGAGGTCCAACGGGTTCACTTCCGTCGTCGTGAGCTGATCCAGTGAAACTGGTCCGGGAGGACGCAGCGAGCGTTTTTAAACGTAAATCTTCCTTCGTTCCGTTTCAAAATGTGGAAGATTCCCGACACATACCGTGAGTAAAAAGCTGCGGGCGTTTTTTAAAAAAAATCACGTCGTTTTAATTGGACAATGAACTCCGACTTGTTGTCCTAAATCTGCCGTTTTTATGCTTTGTGTTGGACTGCGTTTGCACAGCGACGTGTTGCGCTCATCGTGCGGTGTGAATAAATTTGACAAGATTTCCCATCAGCCAACAGGTAGTGAACATAGTGCTTTATTATTATTATTTTGGGAAGAGGCGTTGTGCATTTATTACGGTACAATCACTTGAAAGCTCAGAAATTGGGGAGGGCGAGCAAGCTTCCCGAACTTTGTCTCTTTGCTCTCTGGCACGGCCCCTAGTTACAAGATTCAGTTTCAATAGACATACCTACTAGCAGGTACAAACTGCTCTAAAGCAGGTAAAAGACTGGGAAGTCAAGACGGTGCGGACTCCCGTGTTTCGCGCTTTTCGCAAGCTGACTGGGAAGTGCTTTCGCAAGGTATGCGGAATATGCAACGGATTTTGTTATGCCCGTCGCTTGCGTCTCTCCAGCAAACCGAATAAGATAATCTACAAAGTTGTGATCACAAGCCAAGATTTACAATAACAGTAAACATTCATTCAAACAACCTTACGTAAGATGATTCGGAAGTCGAGAAAAAAAATCTGTCGGCTAACGCGGAATTCGGACGTCCGAAGGCTTCTGTGGACAGCTATTACGTAATCACCTAGCTTTGCCAGGTTTTTTACATAACAGCTGTGTCTAGTCACGGACGTTCGATGCACCCGGTGGGAATCTCGGCGGCCCCCTGAGCGACGTGGCGAGAACTTAACTGGACACGTTTGTCGCTACGCGAACGCCCGATTGCCTCCAGCCAAACAGCATTCCTTCGGGGCGACATGGCTGCTGGAAGGCTCGCTGTCGGGATCATTCATCATGCGCAAGCGCAAAAAAAAAAAAAAAAAAAAAACACCCTAAGGAAGCAAGGAGGAAAACGAAAGAACCGCGCTATGAAAGCCAAAACCCTGCGTCGCTTCCTATCACTAACCCTGCGACAGCTGCTAAACACACGTTACTTCACCTCAAGAAGTCTCACTCAAGCACCTGGGTCAGCACGAAACACTGATCACTTCGTCGAAACGATTAGTCGAGGTAGGCGAGACAGGCGAGAGCAGAGACTTCGGCGGCCATGAAAGAATGGCGAGGCTTTTGTTTGTTATGGTATGAATCCAAACGGAAGTGCCCGTCTTGTAAACCTTTTGTATAAGAATAATAACTCTCATCACATGGGTTATTCTTTAAACGTAAAAATATGCCGCCGAAAAGGAAATTAGAACATATGACAAAGGTTTAACAATCAAGATCTAAGCTGTCAATCAAACCCTTAGCCAATGAGAAGTATAGCAGCCAACTGGGGCTAGACGTCACGGAACCCCAACTTTGTGGCGCGTGATTTAAAATGGACGAAATAGACGCAAACTAAAATCAGTCTCACGCAATAAATATTGCTGTACTTTTTTTTTTTTTGTCGCGGGAAATTTGTTTTTTGACGTGCTTGTTCAAATTAGACTGCTAAAGAAAAAAAAAAAAAAAAACTTTTTTTCTTTGCAGTTACCCTTTAAGGCTTATACAATCTTGTGCGCAACAAAGACGAAGACAAAAGCAGAGAAGAGGACACAACAAGGCGCAACTTTCAACTGAATTTTATTGAAAACGTGTTCCGGTATATATATAGTCTCAACCATCGTTACAATGACAACAAAAAGACAAAAGTAAAGGAAAAAACACCATGACAGAGCATAACTATCTCGTTCTCAGGAAAAACAATTCCTTCTCCGATAATGCGATCGACGGCATAGCAACACACATGTCTCCTAAATAATCAATGTGCTCGGCTTCTATGATTTCGCGTGTTACCGCTGACTTGCATTTCCCAATTTTTACGCATTCATCCAACAGTGGGGTACAACCGCATGTCCTGCAATGCAAGTCAAGAAAGCCACCGTTCTTTTTTTGCACGTTGTTATTGTGCTCGCGAAGCCGATCATTTAGGCAGCGCCCCGTCTGCCCGACGTAGTGGCTGCCACAGGACAACGGAATGCGGTAAACAACGGAATGCAAGTCAGCGGTAACACGCGAAATCATAGAAGCCGAGCACATTGATTATTTAGGAGACATGTGTGTTGCTATGCCGTCGATCGCATTATCGGAGAAGGAATTGTTTTTCCTGAGAACGAGATAGTTATGCTCTGTCATGGTGTTTTTTCCTTTACTTTTGTCTTTTTGTTGTCATTGTAACGATGGTTGAGACTATATATATACCGGAACACGTTTTCAATAAAATTCAGTTGAAAGTTGCGCCTTGTTGTGTCCTCTTCTCTGCTTTTGTCCTCGTCTTTGTTGCGCACAAGATTGTATAAGATGTCAAACCAACTCGCCCAAACAACCACTCTTCCCTTTAAGGCCTTTCGGTTTTAAGGCAAGAAGGCAAATAGCGCACCTCTTCGCCGTCTAGTTACTAACTCTCGCGGCTGCAAATCCAATTTTTTTTTATTTATTTATTTAAAAACAAAACTTTAACAGGTTTTATATTTTAAGGGCCATGTCTAGCCTATAATTTCAAATTCTTTATCAGAACCTAAGAGAAAAAAAGAGAAGAAACGTTTAGGGGTATCAGTGGACATTGCTGAGCAAGCGTTGGTCACGGCTACAGGCAGATCGAGTCGCCAACGATACCCAATAACCGCTTTAAGTGTTGACAAATCCAACTTAGAGAAAGGACCTTTTGAAGCCGAAGAATATCGGATCTTTAGAAAAGGACAATGCAATGAAAATGACACTGATACTTTAATTCAGCAAGACGATACATGGAACGCAGATGTATATCCTTGAGCCGCCAGCCGACGATGACTTTCTTCAGGCTTGAGGTCGTCCCCACATAATTGGTCGGAACTCCGTCAATTCGCATTCCTGCAAGAATAAAGAAAACAATTTTTTGCGGCATTTTTTAACAAAAATACGCCAAAAGTCAAATTAGGTTGTTAAAATACAAATATTAGGTTTTAGGCTCCAGCCAAAAACTCAACGCTTTCTATCATTTTGTGTTTAATAATACCTCCTGTGCGTGTGCGCCGTTTTAGGTATGTCTACGTTGCTTTGTTGGTTTTAAGTTTGGCTAGTGTTGCACACAAAGGTGTCAAAAAATGGAAAAAAAAAGACTGAAGGCTAGATGGAACATATTCAGATATTCGTCCCGACAGTCGTGTCCCGCGATAAGAATATTGAATTCGAGTGTTTTAAGGCCGTTTAACCAATAACATAGAAGACAAAGCCTAAAACGTCTCATCGCATGCACGAGTAGCTCATGCATGCGCAGAATTTCTCATCGAACGTAGTTCGGGTGCCCGCTACGTGGTGCCTTTTTATCTGGAAAAGTTCAATTTTGTCTATAGCGGCCTAGATGCAATCTAGCGCCTAGTAGAGAGGCGCAGGTTAACTTCTCCGAGTTTCTTCTTTTCAGAAATGATGTTAAATAATAGTTTGTAAATAGACTACCTCAAGTTTCACAAAAGGTCACTTCAATAGCCTGATCACGCGACTGAGATGAAGACTGGAGGCCTCCATGACACCCACATTTAAGATGATCAGGCTATAGAAACTACGTGATGTCACGTTCAATCAATAGCATGTTTGTTGTTGTTGTTGTTGTTGTTTTTTGTTGTTTTTTGTTTTAACTGTTTGGCCGCGTTTGCTGGGCGTGAGTAAGCGCAGAAAACAAGATTGCGCGAAACTAAAGCCCCTTCATGTTTTAAAAGTAGCGCAAGGTACGTCGATGCAAGAGGCACGGGAAACGTGCAGCCCCATGGGAAGATCATGGCCGCACTGCAGCACTGAGCTAGGTTTCGGACGCCATATTCTTCCCAGAAGTGGCGGGCGGCACGTGTCTCGAGCATTCCCACAACAATGAATGGCGGCCTTTTTCAGTCATTGAGGGGCTTTACGCGAAGCAAGATAGTGGCGCCTTCTCGTAGCGAATGGGAGAAACACAATGGACCGATCTCATCAGCCATTTTGTCTATGTCTACGGGACCACTGCCGCAGTGCATCGATGGAACTTTACTCTTTCTGCACGTACGACGACCTCGCTGAAGCTTTTGGCGTGTATAGAGCACGAGATGGCACGAGCCCTTTCGTGCACAGCCGTCTGCCTCCTGTGAACTAAAGTTATGGCGGCGCCACGGACGCGCAGCTCGCTTAGTGCAGAGCCGTATATAGAGAGAGCTTGATCAATGGGAGGAGCGGGCAGCGCCAGGGCGTTCACCGGACGCAGAAAGAGAACTTGGCATGCTCTCTTGGCCAACCAGAAGCCGTAAATATTCCCCTAGCGGTGTTAGCGAGAAACTGTTTTAATAAGCGCGTAAGAGTTAAATGTAGTAATATAGAGGATTAAAAAGCGCAAAAAACACGGACGAAGAAGAGACACATACAACAGGGACTGGCGCTAACTTTCCACTGATTTATTTAAGGCAAACCACCCAGCACATGTTCGTAAATACTCTTTCCCATCACGCCAACCACATCTGATAAAAGCATCCCATATACACAAACAACAGATGACAATGATTTAAACATTCGTATCAGTGCAACGTGACTACAAAAAACCATCTGGAAAAGAAACTTCTTTGTTAGCGGGCACGTTGTTTACGAGATTCCGCTAACGTGCGGGAGCGTGTATATTGGACAGACTGGGCGGTGTTTTAACAAAAGGGCGCGCGAGAGCATCGTACCGACGTGCGGTCGTGTATTACTACTGCGTGGTGCACGTTAAAGACCCCAGGCTAGCGGTTGTACTCCACTGGCTAAATTGCTCCTCTACAGCTGGTAGACTCGTCGCCCATCGAGGCAGACCAGGTTCTAGGCTGTGTAAACATAAACACAACCCAATTTTATTTTTTTTAAAGGGCGCGCGAATATTGTCTAGCGGTTCGTAACAAAGCGGGGGGGGGGGGGGGGGGGGGCACCTTGCAGTACACTGCATGCGGTGCGGGTTTGACCCCCTGTTAGAATTAACAAAATTTGTTGAAAGAGCAAATAACAAGACTGAGAGGGAAATAGTTGAAGCCTATTTTATAAAGTCGTCGGGTGACAACTGCGTCAGCACGCCTTCGATTTTACTAAACAACAAGGAAGATTCATTTCTAGATGGTTTTCCGTAGTCACGTTGCACTGATATGAATGTTGAAATCATTGTAATCTGCTGTTTGTGTATATGGGATGCTTTTATCAGATGTGGTTGACGTGATGGGAAAGAGTGTTTACGCACGTGTGCTGGGTGGTTTGCCTTGATTAAATCAGTTGAAAGTTAGCGCCAGTCCGTGTTGTATGTCTCTCTTCTTCGTCCGTGTCTTTTTGCGCTTTTTAATCCTCTATGTCACAATGAACCAACTAGCCCAATCCAAAGTTTTAAAACCAGTAACTCTTCACGTTTGAAAATATTGTGGACGTGATGTTTCCATTTTGATCACGCAAAAAAAAAAATGTAAGAATAGAATTTGCCGCTCGAATTCTTTTTTGCTCAGACCGAGTCTGACCGCTCCGACGGCAAGTTCCCGGCTCTCAGCGCCTAGCTGGCGTACGGATTACGTAAATCGTTTGGTTAGAATTTTATTTTGCATGATCGTGATCGAAAAGTATCGTGCATCATATTTTCAGTTACCGAGAGTTACTCGAACGCACTTATTTCGTTTCTCGTGACCACTGCCACGGTGTTATTTACAGCTTCTGGCTGCCCACATTTGAATTGTGAAGACACCTTGAAATAGGCCCAGTCCGCTTTCGACCAATGACGCCTCCTCATTTGCCTCCTACACTTCCCAATGTATGGCCGAACTCTTTCTATATACAGCTCTGGCTTAGTGAGATCGGTCTATTACGTTGGTTGTTTCTCGGGCTATGTTTCAAAGTGGGAAAATGGAGGTTTGGGGTCTTCATTCCATCAGCACCGGACCGCTGTTGTGGCTGTTGAAGTGTGGAGTTTTATTCGTGAGGATTATCAATTTGTCGAGAAATATATTTGAACTGAAATGATTGACACGCTGACGGAAACAGTATCAGATACTGTGGGATTCTCTTCGTATAATTCAATTATAAGACGGTTAATATTACGTTTTAAATATAGTATCCTACTATTTTTTTAAAGCTTTTACTTTGATGTTTTAAAAGTGTTAATTGAACAATTCTCTTTTCATATTTTTACGCAGAAAATTAGGCGGATGGCTGGACAATGTTGAAATGCCTTTTCGCGCTAAAAAATTACATGATTCTGTTATCCGATAGTATCTACGTACCAATTAGAACGCAAAAAAGCAGCAGAAAAGAGGCGCGTTATAATTTTGCTTAACACATAAAATAAACGCACGAAATCAAACAAGAAAACGCGTTTCTAACTTAATTAAGTAATTTTCTACGTATTAATATTTAATGACACAACTTTTTGTAAGCCATAAAAAAGTTTGCCATTGAGGACCGCACGGCCGTACCTATATAGGGCTCTCTATGAATTAAGTTTAGTTTGAACTTTTCTGCAAAATTTATAAGGTGGTTGTATTTCTTAGATCGTTATAAAAATAAGAATAAAGTTCATTTATGCCGAGCAATAGAATAAAATTGACATATTGTGGAAGGGCAACAACGTTCGAGGGCACGTCAAGCAGATGCTGGCCTCACACACGTCTCCAATAGTGTACACCAAGGAAAACGTTATACCAAAATAATCCTGTAGGTCTTTGTAAGTGTTGGGTTTATTTTAGTTTCAAGGATAGTGACCGCAAAAAAACAACAACATTGAAATCTTAAAAAAAAAAAAAAAAAATAGAGCATCCCAGAACACTCGATCTTCTAAACCAGTGGTTCTCAAATGGGGGTTCGCGGACCGCTTGGGCTTCCTGAAGGCCGTCTAATGGTCCTCGAATTCACTACCATCAGTCAAGCCGAGCAATAACACTTTGTTTTTTTATGCTGGCAGTTTTACCAGGCCAAATATACCAAACTACGTGTGCCGAGTCAGGAGGGTTGATTATTCTCCGTTTTGGAGCTTTAAAGTTGGTTTACATGCATGCAGTTTTCTTAATTCGCACATTTGTTGCTGCAATCATCCAATCCCCCCCCCCCGCCCCCCTCGGCCCTGGCGGATGGGGTCCCCCATCACTTCTTCCATTCCTAAAGGGGTCCCCTCCACGAAACATTAGTGGTTGAGAACCACTGTTCTAAACTAATAAACTTTTTACCAGCTCTCATCAAAGTTAATTCAACCATCTTTTTTTTTTAATTCATAATCGATTCATCGATTCTGGTGCTATCCTTCATAAAAGAATGGATGTCAGTACTTTAAAATTGATATACAAAATGTAGGTTCAAAATGCTGTTTTTAAGAAACTTCTTGCTATAACGCGTCTTACATGGTAATGATATAAGCCTCGCGTAATATGTGTAAGCCGGTGTCAACCGTGTCATTGTTCTGATAGAAAATATAATTTTTAGTGCGTTCAGTTATAGAATAAAAACTCATAGTTTCTAAAACTCGTTTTTTTTATTGTACACTTCGGCTTGAATTTTATCAATAGGTAGACAACCAGTTAATCTTTTTTTTACATTAACCTTGAAGTGTTTTTGTTCCTTTATAACCCACTTTTATAGAAAAGGTATTAGTTTTTTTTATTCTTAGATTTGGATTTTAAAACTAGGTTCTCACACGTGCTCCTCGATTCAAACAAAACATGCATAACCTACGATCAGTCGAGGCATCTTGGCCTTCATCCTGTTGGCCGCACGGGGACTGGGAAGCAGTGTATCCTAAAAAACAAGCAAAAAAAAAAAAAAGAGACTTTAGCGACATTGTTGAAGATCACATATACCCTATTTTTTGTGCTGTTCAAATGCTCAACTTACCGATCAACTCAAGATAAATATTAGAAGCATATAAACGACAAAAATGACAAAACTTTTTGTAGAACCGTATTGGACGAGTTAGTGTCCACCTGGAGCAATAAAGCAATTCTATTGGCGGCAAAATGTTTTGGTGGCGCTCTCCTATTGGGGCGCCATCGAAAGCGTCGCTGTGGTCGCCTTTCCGCGATTGGCCGAATGCTGACTATGCCGTAAGCAAAGGTTTTCTCATCGACAGAAATGTGAGTAATGTAAGACCTTCAATTCTGATGGTGCTGGCAGTATTGACTTCATAGAACAATTATTTCAAGCTTCCACCATGATAATTACAAACACTATCGAACTTGTTCGCTAGGTAATGACCTCACGAGGGGAAACCATATGAGGGCGTCACCAAAACATCTCGACGCTAATGCCCCCCCCCCCCCCCCTCCAGGCGTCATTACCTTACGATCAGCAAGTTGGATGGTGTTTGTAATGAGTATGGTGGAAGCTTTAAATCACGCGTTCTGAAAGCAACACTACCAACACCGCCGAAAGTGAAGTTCTTACATTACTTCTATTTCCGCGGATGAAAAATCCTTCGTTGACGTAATAGTGAGCATTTGGCCAATTGTGGCAGGCCGACTACGCTTTCGATTGCTCTCGTTGTCTCTGTTTTATACTTAATCAACGCTGGTAAAGCTGCTGGTGCGAGCATGGGGTTTGATCCCGCAGATCAAACCCCGTGCACGTGTTCCTGCGCAAACGAAAGAATAGATGAAGTTAGGCGCTCGCGCCCATAACTTTGACAGCGTTGTATACTAAGTATGAAACGGTGTATTCGCCCTTTTTTGTTTGACAACAAACTCAGTGGCGCCATCTATTGGGTAGCCCTTGTTCACATCCGGTTCACGTATATTTCGTAGTGTTTTTACTCATCATTCTTTTATCATGGGATAGAATTAAGTCTGATAGTGTTATAAGTGGCCATTTCCAGAATATTGCGCGTATATTTGATTTCGCAAATACAGCGAAACCCGCCGTCCAGTTCAGAACCGGGAGCGTTTGGGAGCTCTTTGCACTCTTAGAGCTACCACGTTTCAAGTCAAGCGAGAAAGAGCGAATAGGTTAACTTTAAAGGTCCTTTTTAAGACCACAACTTTTTTGTATATAAAACTTTATCTTGCTATATATATTTTTTTTTCGATACTAGGTATCACCTAGTATCGAATGAATGTAGGAGGCTAAAAATCTTGAAGTTCACTTAATGAATAATTATTTTGTTATCTATTTTTATTATCATAGATGATTAGGAAGCGTATATTCTCCACCACTTACAATGATCTTTCCCATGTCCGCCATGTTTCTCTGAAAAAAGAAAAAAAAAAGAAAAGTTAATTTATAAATTTTCGACGGGACTGTAAAGTAACTAAAAATTTAAGTTTAAAGTGCACTCTTAACTTAGGCCCTCCTATAAAGTGCAGCCCTTCTTAGTTTATTAGAGACATTGACTGGGTGAGAGGGACAGCCTTGTTAAAAGGGCCAGTGAAGGAAGGCGACAACAACTCAGGGAACATATCCGGATTTAAGAAGGCAGAAGAAAAGAAGCGGTCGTCGATCTCAAAGAAACACTGACACCCCCAATTTTTTTTTATTTTTTTTTGCGTTCTGTTAGGCGATCTATTATGGTTGTCAGAAGACTACCCAATCAATATTTTGCTACAGCGTCACATATCCTTTTAAGAAAAAAAAAGAAAAAAGACGCAACTACTCGAATCAGAAACTGAAACTAGACTGGGGAGGAAGAAGAAATATAAAGGAGGAGGGTGTTGCCGGAAGTCACGTGGCTGTGCAACTTTTTTTTCTGCAATGAACGTATTTGCGGCTTTTTAGAGGCCAGAAAAAATAGGTATCATATTTTCTTTCTATTTTTAATATTGATCCCGCCGGTGACCCACGACTTTGATTATTTTTGGTGGTTGTGTCTAAACCATAGAAAACGGCACTTGACCCCGGAAAAGAGAAAGAGAGCGCGACTCAAACCGGCTAGTTCTCGATCAACGGTTTTCTGGCGGAAAGAAGACGAATTTTGAGCCGCAAATTGTGTTCCGGGTAGTTGGGCTCTAATATTTCATGTACGAATAAAAATCCTTGGCGACCATAAGTACTCTGTCAGTGTCCCTTCAAATACCCAGCAATGTCTCTTCTAAACTTTGGTGCAAAGGAGCCTGGATCGGGCCCGGGGGGGGGGGGGGGGGGGGGGGAGGGGGTGCGGAGGTTGACTTTTACACAGACACGATGTCGTCGGGAAACGTCGGCAAAATTAGATGTAGCGGTATGATCGCTCACGTACTTTACCAGGACAGCTAAAGTACGGCATATAAAGACACTTAAGATTATTATTATTATTATCATTATTATTACTAAGCATGTCTTTATTAATATGTTTCTTTCGTCCCTTGTCTACTGATATCAGAAGAGTAACGTAAAGTTACTTACGATGATCGTGCCGCCGCTTCGTGCATGCATCTGCCTAATCTCGATAGCCTGGAAATGCACAAGCTCCATATTACATTGCGTTAGAACAGTACGTTAGTAATGTTCTCATCTGTCTTCATTACTGAAAAAAGTTTACATTCATAATTGATACTGCATAAAATTAAGAAAGTAAGATTTGCCGTATATTTAAGCGTGAGCAGTCTGTTAAGTGAACAAATACAATGCTGATGATACATTACAGAAAGAACAAAAGTCCAACAGACGTGTTCTTTCTTTTTTTGCATAAAGGAAAATCCCTAAAATATTTTTAAGCAACGCTCAGGATTTTGTTCTCTACTTTTTATTTTTTTATTTATCACACATCACACATAATTGAGCGTTTTCCCTCTTTACTACTGAACTCTGTTTTATAGTTGTGCTCTGCATTATTTTCTGGAATTTCAAGAGTAACTCCTGCGCCTTTTTATTTTATATTTTATCTTGTGGTTACGACTGATTGTAGTGCGAAACGTGTCCCTGAATTACGAGGTGTTTTTGTTTTTTTTTCTCCTCCGTGGCCTTGTGTAGTTTTGTAGATATTTGATCTCAATGTTTTCTTTCGGGTGTCTTCGGCAAAACCGAAACTACTGGTTCGTGCATGGTGGTGACAACGCTGGTGATCAACTGCATGGCCATCGTGGGACGCAAATCTCGTTTTGCGGTACCGCAAAACGTACAGGACTGTCCTAGTCGCATGAGCAGTTCCAATTAAATCCAGCTACTCTACCGGGTGTCTCAAGGAGAGGCAAGGCTCTTTAAATCGACCGCAAAATCCGGTTTCTTAACCTATCGCGATACGATTTTGTGCAGCGTTGCCCACAGGTGGTCATTGTTTCGTTAAAATTTGCAAAGAGCGAACTTACCCGAGGAAAAAGTAAAAAAAAAAAAAAAAAAGAAAACGGCTTAACTCTTATGGAAACGCAGCGAAGTCACCGGTCTTCAAACAGCAGGGCGCCCTATTGATTGAAGACCGATGGCTTCGCTGGGTGTCCGTAGGAGTTAAGCCTTTTTCTTTGTTTACTTTTTATTCAGGTAAGTTCGCTCTTTGCAAATTTCACAGAAAAAATGCACCACCTGTTGGCAACGCTGCACAAAATCGTAGCATGATAGGTTACCAAACCGAATTTTGCGGTCGATTTAAAGAGCTTGGCCACTTTTTGAGACACCCAATAGTCTCGATCAGTCAGGTAAGATGCTACAACTCTTTTACTATACTTTACTTTGTAGATATCGAACATATCTAGCAAATATTAATACAAATTTATAAAGTTGCCGGCCGAAAAGCAAGTTTGCCATGGCGAACGCGGGTTTAGAACGAGCCGCCCATTCTGTGAAGAACTACAATCTTGGTAGTGTGTAATGCACGTATCAGAAGCGTTGTGGAAGCTAATCGGAAGCTCGCGCTGAGCAGGAACGAACAAAACTATGGCCGCCAGTGAATGCCACTTTTGGCAGCACGACGCGCTTGAGCGTGCAGGGAGTCAATAACCTACGTGCGCGATCACTGGGAAGCACTTATAAACGACGGCCGCTAACACATAACACAAGAAACAGAAATCGTTCGCTTAGACGCCTAATAACGCAGCAGAAAAAACATGGCGAAAGAACTGGTACGAACGAGGAACCTGCTTGGCCAGGCTTGGCCTACTTGGGAATGAATGGGACTAGTATGACGTTTGGGCACAAGGTTGCTTGGCAAACAGTCAACCCGCTGAATGCCCGCTGATAGACTGGGGGTAGCATTTTTAATATCGGTTTTACAGCGGACTGCTGTTTCCCATTAGTGTTATATTTGGGTAGTGCTCGTCTTTAGTCTCCGTAAATCGATATCGGTCATTTATTTAGGTTTGAATTTTGACTCGAGTTACCCTTTCAGAAGCAGTGATGGCCGCATATCCACATCTTTTATCGGCGCTCAAGGTGCGCGAGAGCACGGGCAAGGTATGTGATAGCTCTCTCTGTACATAGTACAGAGTAAAGTCACTGGTACAGGGCACTTACTTACATGCGATGTGTGGAATGGATACAACGCGATATTCATATCGCATTCGTTGTGGGATCCAATCTTCGAATTTCACGCGAGGACATCTGCTAACAATACGTTACCTGTCCCAAGAGAGAGCACGCCATCGCCGCCGGGCGATTCTGCTCTCATCAACTTTTAAGGTTACTGTTACCTCCGAAAGCTGTTCCAGGTGAATCATCTAACTGTCAAGCACACCGACGCCGAATGCATTTTAGTGCAATATATGGGCAAAGCTGGCCGGGAGTGGGCGACATGGCAACACCGTAAACGCCGTCAAAAAACAACGAAATTTCTATTTTGACAAAGTTCGTCAAATAATCAGTCGACCATTTTGACGGGATACGTCAACATAAACTAAAACCTTTTTCATGTCTTACGCAAGTTACCTCATGGACGTGAAAATAATGTTTGAAATTATTTTGACAGCGGACGTCGAAATAGTCACTATACAGTACTCCAGAGTAGCAGGGAACGTAGCCCTTCCCTCTTTCCACATTAGCACAGCAAACGCTGGAACCCGCTTTCCTCCCCTACAGAATTCGCTCTGCTAATGTGGAAAGAGGGAAGGACTCTATATATTCAGACGTTTTTCAACATGGTATCCTAAACGTCACACAAGAACCTGAGCTTACCGTATACAATTCGTTTTGGCTCAGTCGAAGTCTCTTCAGGCACTTCTTTTCTATATAAAAAAAAAAAAAGAAACATAAATTCGCCATATGATGCTTTCATTTACGCTCAGTACACCCCGCCGTCATGACAGCGTTCTGTTTTAAATAGGGTTATATTCTTCAAAAACTCAGTCATTTCTCGAGCTTTTAGAGCTCCTTGATAAACCATTAGCAGCGTGCTAGGCACAAACCACCACGATATCCGCGATATTTTGTAGGCGCAATACAGGTGACGTTGGTACGCCGTACATTTCCGCGAAGCTCCAGAAATCGTTCCTTTACGTCGCGGTAAATTTGTGATTGAGTTACGAATATTTCCCTAGATTTCAATAGGTGTGATAATAAGCCACTAGCAATTTTGGTCGAAACGATTTATCGGTATATCGGAAGCGCCCCATTTTCACATTTGACTGCGTTAGAATAGGGGGTCCCATTGCTTCGAGTACCCCAAGCAGCTTGGCGCTTCGCACTGCGCATGCGCAGAAGTTACGCGCGTGCTCAGTGCGACCCTCCTAGCTGCTCAGAAGACCCAAAGCCCTGGAGTTCTCTAATCTAAAGATCTGTATTTTCATTATTTTTAGCCACCGTTAACCTAACATTAACGACAGGTTTTAGCTTTCTGCGATGCGTATGTTATTTATGCTTGACGAACAACTAAACAAAATTAAAAAGCTTGATCATGTAACGAAAACTGCTAAGCACAGAATGTGCGAGAGGCTTTTCAGGGAGGAAAAGCAAGGAAGAAATAGCAGCCCTACCGAACATTCGCTTTCATTTTTGACACACGCCGTAAGATGGCGTTACATTACTGGAAAGTCCAGAGACCTTTATATTGTAGCAGTAAGAAAGACAAGAAGAAGAGAAGAAAGTGAAGCGGGCTCACGAGCCAAGGAGAAAAAGGAAGAACGTCGATCGGTCGCAGAATAAACCGCTACAATTTGGTGGCAGCGGTGGGATGCCGACTGAAACACGTCAAGGACTTGTGCCGTCAAGAGAAGAACTTTCCGGTGAGCCCTCTCCCTCGAGCCAGCTACGAGATGACACCAGTTCGCAGTCGAATGTGGCACCAATAGATGCTCAGACGACAGTGGTGACACACGGGGTTCTGGAAGGACTACTGGAGCGACAAACGCAAGCAATCGTGGCCGCTACGCAGCAACGGTCAGACGATTTGATTGCAAAATATGCCGACATCTGTCAACGAATAGCTGCTTTGGAAGCACTTGGGCAACCGCCACAACCAACAGTCGCCGCTACTCAGCAGACTTCTTCCCCAAACCAGACTGTCACTGCCCCATCTGCACAGCACCGTTTCAAGTTGAAGCCGTTCGATGGGGAAACCCCCTTGGATCTTTACCTACAGCAGGTCGACATAATTGCCGAGGCAAACCATTGGACCGAAGATGACAAGGCATGCGCTGTCATCGCCCAACTTGACGGTCCGGCACTCAGCGTACTCCACGCAATTCAAGGCACCCAGCTCACGTACACAGCATTAGTCGCAACCCTACGTGATCGTTTTGGTGACGACCACCTGCAACAAGCATACTACGCAGAGCACCGGTCACGACGTCAACAATCAAGTGAGAGTTTACCGGAACTTTCTTCAAGTGTAGAACGCCTAACCTACAAATCCTTTCCGGGTGCTATGCCCGATACCTTAAATCGTGTCGGCACGGCCGCGTTCGTGGATGCTATAAGTGACCCCGAGGTTCAAAAATTTGTTCGCCTGGCAAGACCGGACACAATACGCGCAGCTCTAGGCCACGCCATGGAAATGAGCGCTGCTCAGTGGGCCACCAGTTGCACGCAACCGTCAACACCCCATGAAATCCAAGTACAAGCATCGTCAATCCCACAAGGGACACGCCCGCATGCTGCGTCTGCCCATTCACGGAGAAATGCCAATGGGTCGTGCTACCGATGCGGACGTCGCGGCCATTTTGCATTCGAATGCACTACTGCTTCTACCTCGTCGGGAAACGGCACATCCGGTCCCCTGGGGCAGGGCCGGATGTAAATGCTCAAAGACCCCTTGTATCACTTGCAAGCCAGCTAACATCAGTTCCTTTGCATCCTGTACTGGTCGAGCACTTGGGGACTGTGGACGCACTTTTTGACACCGGGGCAGCTGTCAATGCTGTCGATAAGTCTTTACTTCCTTCAAACGTTGAGTTCTCTTCTGACTGCCCAGCACTATTCACGGCCCATGGTACTACCATACCAACTGCGGGAAAAGTTCGATTAAGCATCACAGTATTTGGTCGCACGTCCGTTGAAGAGTTTGTCGTAATACCAAATTGTGTCTGTCCCGTGATTCTTGGGTACAGTTGGTGTGCTAAAACCGGCTTGTTTTCTTTAAACGATTCTGCCGGTATTCAGGAGAGCCCACTTACGACTTGGCAACCGGATGCTCATGGTGCCTGTCACAGCTTTGCGCCATTTCGGTTGTTTTGGAATTATTTTATAAGCCTTTGGGCAATTTTTTTTTATTCTCTGCTTAGGCGGTTTTGTCGCAACTCCATGAACGTTTGGAGGTCATGTGCGTCTTGTGCGGTAGAGAGAATAAAAAGCTTACCGCATATCTTACAAAAATCTACTTCGGTCCTTGAAAAAGAAACTTGGGACGTACGCATTGCCGCTACGACGGTGATACAGCCAGAAACTGCCATATGGGTCAACGTGAAAGCAAACTCACCTCATCTAAACGGGGACATTGTCTATGAGGCATCGCGGATTTCGAGGCCTGATTGCGAAGTGGCAGCACCTCGAATGTTGACTACGTGCACTGGTGGTTGTTTCAGCATCCTGATGATGAACCTCGGGCGTACCCCTGCCAAGCTTAAACAAGGACACCGCGTCGGCGAGTCGCTTCTCTTTTGTTCGGCAGAGTTTTTAACAACAACGGTCGATCAAGCAAGACCACCAGCACAAGCTTCAAATCATCAGAGTAACCAGGTACCTTGGGAGATGTTTAACTTTGGGTCATCCCTCGACAAACATCAGGTTGACTTACTCAAGAGACTCATTACGACATACCGCACATGTGTGGCCCTTACTCCCGACGAACTGGGATGCACGCATCTTGTGGAACATAATATTGACACAGGTGAGCATGCTCCTATTCACCAGCCCTTGCGTCGACTGGCTCCCGTCGAATACGAAGTTATTCGAACACAAGTCGCTGACATGCTTAGTCAAGGGGTTGTCACACCATCCAACAGCCCGTGGTCGTCACCGGTTGTCCTGGTGCGTAAAAAAGATGGATCTATTTGTTTTTGTGTTGATTATAGAAAGATCAACAGCATCACAAAACAAGACGTGTACCCTTTACCCCGTCTTGACGATTCGCTCGACAGACTACAAGGCGCCAGATACTTTACGACTCTTGACCTGTTATCCGGGTACTGGCAAGTTCCGTTGAACCCAGAGGATGCTGAAAAATCTGCATTTGTTACTCCCGCTGGACTTTATCAATTCACACGATTGCCATTTGGCCTTTGTAACGCTCCAGCTACTTTCCAACGGCTTATGGATAAGGTTTTAGGTCACCTCAAATGGACCATGGCACTAGTTTACCTTGACGACATTATTGTCTATGGTAGAACGTTCGAAGAACACAACCGGAGGCTCGAACTTGTTCTCGACGCACTCCATCAAGCGAACTTGCGGATCAAACCTCAAAAGTGTTTTTTTGGATTTGAAGAGGTTCTTTACCTTGGCCACGTCATCAGCAAAGACGGCATCAAACCCGACCCCGCGAAGCTAGAAGCGGTATCAAAGTACCCAAAGCCGACCCGCCTCTCTGAAGTAAAAAGCTTCCTCAGCTTTGCGTCTTACTTTCGGCGGTTCATTCCAGAATTCGCCAGTCGCGCAACACCCCTTACACGTCTTCTTCGTAAAAACAACCCTTGGCAATGGACCATAAGCGAGGAACGAGCTTTCAACGATCTCAAAGAAAGTCTTCTTCAGGCACCAATTTTGGCCCATTTTGATCCGGAATTACCATCTTTCCTGCATACCGACGCTAGCGGAAATGGTCTGGGAGCTGTGCTGCTTCAAGAGCACCCCTCAACAACAACTCAGCGAGTCATCGCGTACGCCAGTCGTCGTCTCACAGGTACGGAACAACGGTATCATTCGTCAGAACTGGAATGCCTTGCTCTCATCTGGGCTGTCCAACACTTTCGGCCTTATTTATATGGTCATCATTTCACGGCCATTACAGACAATTCAGCGTTACTGTGGCTTCAAACGAAACGTGACCTTACTCCTAAGCTTGCTCGCTGGGCTCTACTACTTCAAGAATATCAGTTCGAAATCCGTCACCGTAGCGGGAAAGACCACACAGATGCTGATTTCCTCTCTCGTAACCCAGTAGCTCCGGCCGAAGAGGTAAACAAAGAAGATGTTCAATTTTTCACTCCTGTGTTTAACCTTGCAGAAAACCAAAGACAGGACTCAAAAGTTCAAGGCATTGTGTCACGGCTTCGGTCACCTCCATCGCATACGCCAGAGCGACGACTACGCCATGCCTATCGTATCCACCACGGCCTACTCTGCCATCGTGGATCTCAAGGTTGGGTGCCCTTTATACCCGTAAAATTACGTCCCGCTGTACTTCATCTCTGTCACGATGACCTGACCGCTGGACACCTTGGAAGAGATAAAATTGCTAAGAAGATCTTAGAGCGTTACTGGTGGCCAGGAGTTCGCACGGACGTCGCCAAGTACACCGCGTCCTGCGTCAAATGTCAGTCTCGAAAACCTACGAACCCCACCATCAACTGTGGCGTCCAACCTGTTCCACTACCCGAAACACCATTCGAAATTATTGGCATTGACCACCTCGGCCCATTTCCTTGTACGCCAGATGGCAACAAATACGTTCTGGTCGCCATTGACTACCTGAGTAAATGGGTAGAATTACGACCAGTTCCAAATACCGCGGTCGACCATGTTGTTCAGTTCCTACGACAACAAGTTATTCTTCGACACGGAGTCCCTCGGGTACTCGTAAGCGACCGCGCCTCGTGTTTCCTTTCTCG